GGTAAGCACCAAATTGTGGCGGTTCTAAGGACCGAGTTGAAGTGGTCCGTCCACCGTCGGGGACTCCATCCCCTCCCCAACATTCAGCATACGGTCCCAGCCGAAGCGCCAAAAGGGCTGGTTTGCTTACGTCCTTCGAATGGCCTTTCATTGTGGAGGATCGATCCAAACTTTTTAGGTAACAAGAACTAGTTGTTCTACAGTGAGTAATTGAGGGGTCGTATAGTCGACCTCCCGGCCAGAGAAGGTCCATTACTATTATTCGTTTCCCCAAGCAATACTTTCGTAAGAGCAGACATTTTCCTAAGATATGTGACTATGTAAAAATAAACTTTGTCGCAATTAAAGAATTTAGTTCACTGAAAAAAAAACTGAGTTCAAAAGGATTTTACTCCTGATCTCGCCGGAGATACAACATAGGGCCCCAATTGTTCATTACTATCTGACAAAACCACTCTAGGACAATGTTAGTGTGGCACAATTATTTGGCAGGAAGTTAATATGAGAAAAGGGCAAGGTTGTGATATTTTGGAAAAAGTGCAAGAAAGGCCAGGAGTGATGGACCGGACCACTCGGGTCGGGTACTTTTGGATAAATATTATCATTACTAAAAAAGTACTAGTTCACACAGAGAAATCAAGTCGGCACTAACGAATATAGCATTCATGAAGTATACAATGAGAAATTTCTCGGCAAAAAGGTTGCAATCACCGTTACGCTATTTATTCCTCTAGCTCAAGGTCTTCAGAGTGCTCACTATGGTAATATGAATAGCTAAAGGAGGACATTTGAAAGCGAAAATTTTGAAGTAACTGATTCTAGACGTTTTCAGCTGATCGAGCAACTGGCAAATGGAGGCCGAATGCTAATTCCTGTCGGAAAGGAACACGGCAATCAAGTTAGTTTCGGCAACGTAGTCACTTTTCAGCCTCGTTGTTTTCAGTATCTACGACTTGAACTCACTGAGTTATATAGTCTGAACAATAGAACAGTAAGTTGGCATCAGTACCCACCCGGTTTACTACTAATCAGTACTTTCCCCTGACACCAGTTGAGCTTCCTTTTTCTTGCGTATCCGACGTGTCGTTCACATATGCTGGCTTCC